CCTCACAGCACTGCCCGGGACACCCTGCCTCTTCACCCTTGTCTTCCTTCTGGTGAGAACCCACCTCCCATGTCAGCCATCCCAGAAGGGAAAACGCACAGCGGCACGAGCATCAGCAAACCCACGGTTGAGGCATGGTGGCACCTTCTGCTGACCTTGGCAGAGACGACCCCCGCCTCTTGTGAAATCTCTGAAGCAGGGTGAGTGTCCCGGAGTCATGGGCTTCATCTGAAGGCCGCTTAGAGCAACAGAAAAACTCAGCATGTGGGCATCAGCCCATCTGTCTCATCCCCCCTAACATTAGACGTCCTCCATGAAGACATCTACACCTGAGCAAGTCTCCCCAGGCTCCCTTTCCAAGCCCCCGCCTTATTTCAGATGTCTGATTTAGGAAGAGATGAATCGAGTCCTTGGACGGAGCCACCAGAGGGGGGTCCCCTCTTCCTGTGGGCTACAAGCTGCTGAGATACCTGCCCATCCGGGAGTGAGCAAGCTAAAACGCACCTTGCATGCCCCCGGGGTCCTCCCCGCGGGCTGGCTGTCCGAGTCCACGCGGTGTCGCCACCTGCGCAGGCAGATTTTCCACCAGTCCAGGTTTTGCCAAGCCCTGGCTAGTGGCTGATTTAGAGAGGATGGACAATGGCACGGATTGCACGAGCGCCATGTCTCCCTTTGCATGTAACACGCCATAGCAGATGTTACACAGCGACGCGAAGCATCTAATTATCACGTTAACAACATAAATATCAAAGAAGGGAAGCAGATTGACTACCAAAGGTATGCAAAACGTCTAACCCGGAGACAATTTTCCCATGTAATTACTGCAATGTTAAACATTGTTACATAATGATTACAGATTTCAGGTCAGATACTCCGTACGTCATGAAAGCATGGTGTGTTTTGACATTTATGGGAATACTTTTTATTTTTAGTTAGTTTGGTTACCATGGCAGCGAGAAGAAATCTGCACTAGACTCAGCTATACATTAGATTTCGGCCTCCCACTTGACACATCCGAAAACTTTCCAACCCATTTCCCCAAAATTGTCAGCCATAAGCCGCGACGGGTGGAACGAGGCTTGGAAAGAAAATAGCCCGCACGCTGCTCTTTAACGGGGAAGCTATTCCTGAAGCCCCTCTCTAATGCTTGGATGAATGCAGGCACTCGTTAGCATATCAAGTTTTACCTATTTAGATATCTCAGCGGAGCAGACTGCACTGCAGAGGTTAGTAGAGGTTGAACGGGTTCAGGTCACGATCGCGTTCTGCTCACAGGAGGAATCGCGCAAGCAGGAATTGTCCGAAAACAGGAATATCTTGCAAACACCTCGGGTCCCGTTGCCTGAGCTGCACGCCGGGCACCGCGGGAGCCGTGGCCAGAGCTGCTGGAGTTCACCAGCGGGGATGTGACCCCGGTGCACCATGAGAGGGTGGCTCTTGCAGCTCTCCTAATTGGGAAGCAAGAAGCAAAAACGCCTTCGCTGCCCTCCTGAGCCTCTCAGCCATCAGCACACCGAGAAATGATGAAGGGGCGGCTGCGACAAATAACTGCCCGTCGGCACTGCATTGCTCCCACGCTCCATTTGATGAAATACCTCCGGGCGCTGCAAGCTCGCCATGCTGCGGCGCCTGCTGAGCTGCAGCTGGGGTTGGCTTCTAGCAACTGCGGTTTAACTCCTGGAAAGCCGCCGGAGCGGGAGCACTGCAGAGGTAAAGGAAGGACCCTGGGTTGCGTCTGCACGGGTTAGGACCAGCACACTTAACCCCCAGAAAAGGACCTGGGGGTGCTGGTCGACAGCCGGCTGACCATGAGCCGGCAGTGTGCCCAGGCGGCCAAGAAGGCCAACGGCATCCTGGCCTGTATCAGAAATGGTGTGGCCGGCAGGAGCAGGGAAGTGATAGTGCCCCTGTACTCAGCACTGGTGAGGCCGCACCTCGAATACTGTGTTCAGTTTTGGGCCCCTCACTCCAAGAAGGACGTCGAGGTGCTGGAGCGTGTCCAGAGAAGGGCAACGAGGCTGGTGAGGGGTCTGGAGAACAAGTCTGCTGAGGAGCGGCTGAGGGAGCTGGGGTTGTTTAGCCTGGAGAACAGGAGGCTGAGGGGAGCCCTCATCGCTCTCTACAACTCCCTGACAGGAGGCTGTAGCGAGGTGGGGGTCGGTCTCTTCTCCCAAGTAACTGGCGAAAGGACGAGAGGAAACGGCCTCAAGTTGTGCCAGGGGAGGTTTAGATTGGATGTGAGGAAAAATGTCTTTACTGAAAGAGTGGTTAAACATTGGAACAGGCTGCCCAGGGGAGTGGTTGAGTCCCCATCCCTGGAAGTATTTAAAAGACGGGTAGATGAGGCGCTGAGGGACATGGTTTAGTGGGCATGGTGGTGTTGGGTCGACGGTTGGACTCAGTGATCTTAGAGGTCTCTTCCAACCTTAATGATTCTATGATTCTATGATTCAGGCAATAGGGGACAGCCCGCTCTAAGGTGGTGGGAGGCGATGCAGGAAGAGGGGGGTGTAGAGCACCCAATCAGCCACAGCAGAGGGACGGTGTTGGGACAGACCTGGCCCTGCCATCGGTATCCCCAGAGATGGGAGTTTCGGGTTGGGGTGTTGCTGAGGATAACCTCCCCAGTGAGAAGCAAGGATGAAACTTAACGGGAAGACAGTCTGGCATGTGCGCGCGCTGAATCTCTACTTGGGGAGAAAACAATCCCATCAGCCTTCCAGTCATTTTCCAATGAAACGTGGCAATTCATTGCAGACATCCCAGAATTTATCATCGCTTGACAGCTCAGGAAATCCAGGGTTGCCCTGAGCCTCCTCTGCCTCGGCCAGCACAGACCGATGCACCCTGGGTTCGGTTCACACACGGCAGGCACCTTCCCGATCCCCCCGAGAGACCCGGGAAAGCGACCGGGAAACGAGCAATCGCCGGCAGGACCTCAGGGATGAGAGAGAAAGGCTTTTGCCTCCTGACTGACCCGAGCTGACGGTCTGGAGGCACAGAAACCTCCCTGGCGCCCAGCCAGAACCCGGGTGAGATGCAAAGTGCTGGTGGAGCGGAGCAGCCCGTGCTGGCTCCCACGCGGCCCCTTCAGCCGGCTCCTGCGTGCCTCCCCTTGCCGGTGCTTTGCTGTGCGTGTTCAGAGAGGGGTGGTTTTATTTCCTTATTACCCAGATGCTGGTTTGGCTCAGGATTAAACGGGCTGACCTGGCTCCCAGGGCCGCTCAGCCTGTCTGTGGCTGCCTACGTCCGGCCACATTTTGAGGGGATCCATTCCCTCAGTGCCCCGGGCTCTGCTTTCGAAGCACCAGCGCTGCTGAGTCCCGGCGCTTTCGTAGCCTCGTGCGGGTGGGCAACGCCAGGCAGCTCCCGGCCGCGCCGTGCTGCGGTGGTTTTGGCCATTTTGCCGAGACCTTTGTGCTCTCCCCCTGCTCCTCTCCTTGCAGTTGCTGCTGGGGAGTGCGTGGCCACGGCACCCTCCTTCCCCCAGCATCTCCCTTGTGATACCCTCACACCCCCTTAGATCCCCACTAGCTTATCTACGGTGACACCTACGTCACCTCTCCAAGCGTACCCAAGCGCCTGGCTGCTTTCTTCTGGGTTGCAGCGAAGGACACAGAAGAGACCGGAGGCAAGGTTATATTTGTGGAACATCCCCTAAAACCAGCCTCCTGGGGGCAAATCCCCTGCTTAGAGTTCCTCCTCCCTTTTCCCAGCGGTGGCTCACCTGCTGTGCCGGTGTCGGATGGGGCGAGCCGAACGCCTCACCAGGCCTCCGAGTGCTGTACCGGCACACGCACCTCCATCACTCAGATCGCTGCGGGAGAAACCAAACACAGATCGGTTCATCCCAGCCAAAACAACGCATGGATTGGCACGGACCCCCTTGCTAGGGCTCCGCGTATGTTAAGGTTCCCTATGGCAGAACCCTACTATGGTTAAAGAAGCCTTGGATTGTTTGCGAAGCCAATAAATTTTGGTCGGAGAGAGTTTTCCTTTTCAACGCTGAAGACGCAGGGAATATCACACCTTCAGCACATCTTCTGAACCACTGAATGTTCCCCAGCTGAGCCTTTGGGCAGCAGAGAAAGGACGAAGAAGACAAACCCAGCCTGTGGGAGGAAGGACAGATTTTTCTAGTGGGATGAGTTTAATATTGCTGTTCTCCGAAATGAGTCACAGGTCGGAGAAGTGGGGCATTAATCTCAGGGGAGATGAGTAAGTGGGCAGCATGTGAAGGCAGCGGTCAAAGGAGCATCACAATTTATACTTGCAGCTTAGATCTTCCCATCTATTAGCAATGGCTTCTGCTCTCTCTTGGTTAAAATCAGAAATTTTCCACTAGCTCCCCAGAGTAAAAAAAAATTAAAAATAAATTATGTCACCTTCGAAAGTAATCAGCAAATTAGATTTGCAGATTTTTCGATACGTCTCACTCTGAGGCATCGTTTAAGCATTTAGCTTCTCTTTCGCAGTCCTCCTGCAGCAGTCAGACATCCCCAGGTCCTGGCGTATCACCAGGCTGGGAGTTACTTGATGGAGCAATTTGGCCGTCTTATTTTCAGAAGCGGTTCTCAGAACGACGTTTTCGGGAGGTGACAGAGAGGCAGTGCCATCCCGGGGCTCAGCCACCCGCCGACGCCCACGGTCACTGCCGGCGTCACTGATGAAAAGTCCTCGGAGGGGAGCAGCAGTTCTTCAACATTGGAGTTTTTTTCCTTACGCTGTGCTACCGTTTAAGTGCTGGTTTTGGTAAGGAACGTGCGTGCTCAGCGATTGTAATTAAAGTCTGTTAAAGGAAAAAAACATTCTATATTTAAAATGGTTACACCGTTAATGTTCTCATTAGCGTTTCTCAGGACCCGGCCTCCCTGCCGAAGAGACTCGGCTGCCCAGAGCAAGCCCCCGTCACACAGCAGCCTCGGCCACCTCCACAGGTTCTTTGGAGGGGTTTATGCGGTTACGAGCCAGGGGTTTATTTAACGCCCGCTCTGCGCGGGCGGCAATGAATAACTTTCTCGGTGTATTGGCTACGTAAGTCCAGAGATGTTGCTCATCAGCCGAAGAAGCCCTGAGTATCATCGTTTGGGGAGCGAGGGCGAGAGGGAAGCAGCGAGATGCTGACTCCAACCGCGATTCAAGTAGCTCCTGACTCAGAGCCCGCTGAGGTCGGTGCAAAGTCTCCTCCCAATGCCGGTTCAGCCCCAAGCTCAAAAATGGGCAAATCTCCTGTGGCTCGACGAGCGCTGCTTGTCTGAAACAGGTGTTACAGTTCTGTGATTTGACGGTGCTCATGCCATCGCCTACGTGCGGAGGACTTCCCGGCTGCCACTTCCCAGCAGCTTTGCCTGTCTCCTACACAACAGGAAAAATTCTGACTTCTAGTGTTTTACCCTTGGGAAGCTCTCCTCTAGCTTCCAAAATCCATCGAGCCCCTGGAAACCTCACCGTTATCCCAGGAAACCGCTGTTCACTTTCAGGCGTGAGGCAACCAAGCGGGCAACGGCCGTCAGACTGCGGCAGGCTCTGAGCGGTGGAAAGCAACCTGTCCCGGGCAAGGGGAGATTGGTTCCGAGAACTGGGCATCAAAACATTCAAAAACTTGAAGGTTTGGCTACAGGCGCAAAGTATTTCTTGGATCCCTCGTGTTCAGGCAGGTTGGTGACAGTGAGATAAAGTGGGCAAAGACGCCACCTGGGCTCAATGAATAACTTGGCCAATAATTTGGCACTTTTCCTTGAAAAGAAGAGACCTCAGAAGCAAACGGAAGGAGGTTTCAACTTTCCGACCTTCTTCAGTGCGCCTGAAATGGTGCTTGGAGCAAATGATATAACCAGTAAGAAGCTCTGAAAATTGTGTGCTGGGAGGCAGTTACTGATGGAGCCCTGGGAGTTTCAGACCCGGGATGCTGTTGGACACCTCAGCTAGCATTGCTGCTGAAGATCTTTGCGCCAAAGATGGGGGTGACCTCAGCAAATGCGCTAACGACACAAAGCCAGGAGCTGTCACCAGTACAGAGAAGAAGGAGGATATGTCGGAAACTCTGAATGGCCTGGGGGAGTGGAATGACAGCAGGGATATGGCTGTCAAGGTCATGCGTGCAGGCAGGGACTAATAAACAAGGGTTCCTGCTGTCAGCCAGAGCTCATCCATTCAAAATGACTGAGGAGAAGGAGGATCGCCGGATGAATTACGAGCTGCCAATGTCTTAAAGTCATAAAAAGGCTAACTCCAATCCTAGGCTGCATCCGCTGAGACGTTTCCAGTAGACACAGGGGAACATGAGTGTTCCTGTACAAAGGCCTGGAGAGGCCCCACGTAGCTGACGAGGTACCACGCGTGGTACCTGCGGGCACGAGAGGAGAACACATTTCCAAAGCCCGAAGCAGGTTTCCCACGTGGTAGCGGAAGATCATCTGCTTGCACTGGACACACGAGGCCTCTCCAGCAGCACGGGGACACCTCTGGGAAGGCCCCGGGGCACCCCAGCTACGTCCCAATCCCCTCCTCTCAGGAGGGGAGCCCTGAGCCCTCGTCCGCTCTCTTATTTATCTCTTCAAGGTGTTACGGGAGCGCAATGAATAAAGGAGACTACAGAGCTCTTTGTCTCGGCTCATTCCTCTTATTTATTAGCTCTAGCCCAGCTCAGGGCCTCATAAATCAACCCAAACTCACCCTCCCGGCTACCCATTACCTGCAGACGCGCGCCTGTGCGCTGGCACACTTTCGTCTGTCCAGTCCACCTCCCCCCTTGAAATCCCACCCTGGACCCGAGGGCCCTGTGCAGTACGGGGGAGCGAAGGTGGGAACCAGACGATCTATCACCTTCCCGAGACCCTGCAGGCAACCCACCCGCGGGGAGATCCAGGCGGGCTCCCTCTCTGCCCTGGTGGATGGAGATCGATCAGCATCGCAGGGATGATGCTGGCAGATTAATTAGCGACAGCCTTCAGCGTCATGTCCCACTGCTCCTCGTTACAGTCTTAAGATGTGAAAGCTATTGATTTCCCGAGTCCCGCCTTCCTTCCGTCCTGTAATCTTTTCGCTGGTGGGGATCTCAGCAGAAAAATTTGTGGTGGACGTGTGTTTTCACACACACATGCATAAATACAAAGCAGTGGAGGTTTAAGAAACCGCTGTTGCCCAAAGCAAGTGAAGTTTAGGTTATTTGTCATCAAGGTAATATTAACAAGACAAAAATATGTAGTTGTTAAAATGGAAGAAACAGCCCCTGCCTCCCAAGCAGGATTCCCGGCCCTCTGTGCCTGCGGTGTCCTGCCACGGAGCGCTCCCCCTGCCCAGGAGCCCGGCATCCCCCGCAGGTCCCGCTGGGGTGGGCCCGGGACCTGCTCCCAGCTGCCCACCTCCACCTTTGTGTCACCATCACCAACAGCTTCCTCCCACGGGGATTTCGCGAAACAAAATACCGCAGAGTTTTCCGCAGAGAAACGCAGAGGTTCGGATGCTTTGTGCCGGTTTGTGATGAAGATTTTCCCTTCCCCGAGGTAACTCCAGAACGTGACACTTGATTTTTCCCTCCAGCTCCCAGCTCTAGGCAAGTCCTGGTCGTCACCCCAACCCTTACCTCCATCCTGCCAGGGAACTGGGGGGACTAGGGGCTCTCATGCTCTCCATCCCCTTTCCTCTCTCGACTCGCGGTCCCTTGTGGCCCTCGTGACATCTGCCCGTCTCCTCTCTCCTCATATTCTTACTTCTCAAGACAAGGAATGTCTCGGGGACACGGCTGATGGGCGCCGGGAGCCAAAGGAGGTGGCTGGGATGGAGGTTGGAGGGGGATGTGGGAGCCGGTCCCGACACCGTGGGCCACCTCCGCCCCTTGCGTCACACCCCGATTACTGTGGTTTTCCAATCGGTTTAACAGAACCGCAGTGGTGTCGAGATCTTTTTTGGGGGGGGGTAACACACCACATACGATTCAAACAGCGTCGCCCACCGCCCCATCTCGCTCCTGTCGGTATCTCCAAGCTTGATCCCGATTTCTAATCTGCATTTCCAGCAGACAGAGCAAACACACCCGCAGGCTGGCGGGGCGCAGAGGGGAACGGCCAGGAGCAGGCAACCGATGTTCATGGTAACAGTCCTTCTTGTTATTAGGAATCACCAAGGGGAGGCAACGGCGCTTACACGGAGTCCCAACGACTTTAATTTATCTCAGCCCAGCGGTGTCTTCTGCATCCCCCAGAGCGGAGGCTGGTTGCAACAGGATCGGAGATGCACCATTCCCACAGCGGGAGCTGGGACCTTCTCTAAAGCTGAGGCTCCTGGCAAGAGGCACGTGAGAAAAGCAAGAGCCAGCTTCGGACAAGATGACTTCCTGGTCCTTTAACTTGTGATCGCTGATCACAGCGACATTAGAGAAATGAATGTTGAAGCTGGGTCAAGTAATTATTGCAGGTTCGCAGCTGCACACCGCACAGTTCTCAGGGCAGTAACAAGCCTGACAATTGTAAATAATATGCAGCCAGAGCACGGGGATGCTTGCCTCTTGCTGAGATGAAAGTGAAGGCATAAGCTGCTGCGCCCAGAAGAAAACAGCTAAATGGTTACGACCAAGGGTTGCTTCCAAATGCGCCGGCTGCATTCCTCTTCGTAGGGCTTTTTCCTCTTTCCGCCTATTTACATGACCAGCATATCAGCACAGCAGTAATGGCATCATATACCTGCCACGAGTGAAAAATGGCCACGGGAAACAAGAGGCAGAGCAAACAAGGAATGATGGTTTTACTTCAGCAAAAGGGCAGCTAGAGGAGTGAGAGCAGGAAAAAAAAATGACCGACTCTGAGCAGACACCAAAAGGGAGCAAACGAGGAACGCTCAGCAGAGTTCAGGGGAAGCCACCGTGTCGGTGGCCGATATGGAGCCAGCAGCAGCCTGGAGAAGCAGAAAGGGAAGTACAAAGCACCCCTGCTCTCACCCCTGCACAGAGCGGGAGAGAGACACGCTCAGAAAGTCCTTTTCTCCTTATCACTTGTCCCTCCTTATCAGGCTGAGAAATGGCGGTGCCTTCCTTGTGCACCTCAGCCCTTGGGCTTCTCCCCCTTCTGAATCCCAGTGGGGGAGCGCGAAATTGTACCTGCTCGCTGGATCCCGGGAACTGCACGAACCCACGAGGGGATGGAAAGAGCCTCTCAGTGCCCCTGCCCGAAGCTGTGCCTGCAAAGGATTGGGCCTTCCAAGGCTAAATCTTATAAATCCCACTCGAATCTCTTCAGTACCTACCCCAGCTGTTGGCCGGGGTGCTGGGAGCGATGCTCTGCTCCAGCGGGATCCCGCCTCTCCGCTCCCCTGCTATCCGTCCCCGCGCTCGCCCACGCAACACCACAGCTCAGGCTCAGCGGTCCCGGGCTGCGGAGTCACCTGCGTCCCCGCAGAGAGGCGAACTCAGAGCCGGCAACAGGTCCCTGCCGCCACGGCCGCCTGCACCATATCCCTTTAATCTGCCCAAGACTCAGATGAACAGCGCGGCTCAGCAAGAGCGGCCAACAAACGGCTTCCTCGAGAAGGGGGCAGGTAGCCCTGTGTCGGGGGCATGCAATCCTCGAGAAGGGGACAGGCAGCCCCGGGGTGCCCCCCAGCGCTTCTGCCGTCTCCCCACCATGGAAACGGGTGCGCCCAAGAGTGGTGGCAAGTGCACTACGCGGCTTGACTATTTCAGAAAATAACCTTGATTTCTGGGGTGGTGGGATCCCTACCAGTTCCCAGCACTCTGGATGTGCGCCTACAAGCAGGCAGAGGAAAGAGCACCGGTGACCGTCCCATTTTCTCTGGACGTTTCCAGCGCCAAGCAGATCACTGCCTCTCCTGGATGCTGCGAGATCATCCCCATCCGTGGGGACCGTCGCACACCGTGTCAGGGCTCTGAGGGCACTTAATTGCCCCGACGAGCCTCACTGGGTGCTCCCCCACCCCTCTGCCCAGGGTCCCGGAGCTCCAGCTAAGCTCAGGTCTTGGCCCTTGGCCCCGAACTGGCCAAACCCTCAGCCAGAGGGGCCTGTCAGCATCCAGCCCTCACCCTCTCACGGTTACTGGGGAGTTGCTGTGAACCTGCCTCAGTTTCCCCACCTTCGCCACCAATCCCCCTGTGTCACCCCATGCCTTAGCTGTTGAGCATCAGGATCCCGAAGCCAGTCTCCCCGCACCCTTAGTAACTGCCTGTGAACAGTGGCAAGGGCTCATCCTTTCCTTTGGGCCAGGGCCCCGCACCCCACATACGGGATCAGAAGCTAACCTTCTTCAGCCCCTCACTGCCCCCACGGTGGCTTCGCAGAGGCTCTGCAGCCCCTCTGAGCTCCAATTTCAAGCCCCAGGCTGGACTATCTGCCCCCAAGCTCCCATACCGTGCTTCTCACATCACAGCTCCTCTCCCAAGAGAGGTCCAAAGACACCGTCACAGGAGGCAGAGAGCAACTCCACTAACGGGCAGCCCCAAACACGTGCACAGAGGGAGGGAAGTGAGAGATAATACAGAGACATTCCAAGTAATCTTAATTTTCCATTGGCTGAAAAGGAATCGCTACGCTGCACTGCACGTTGCCAGGATATTTTAAAGACCTTAGACGACCTTCAGAGTAAGCGCGGTCGACGAGCCCAGCCGCAGGACGCCCCCCCGCACCCCCCCCCCCCCCACTCTCCGGTGCCGGAGCAGCACCCCACGGGGGCGTCCCCGGCTCAGGGACCGCGAGGCAGGCCTGCCTGCGCCCCCCTCCCCGCCTGTGCGAGCCTGTGCATCCACACAGTCATCTTACCGGTATGATTAATAGAAAGCTATAGGGTTATCGAGCGTGTTTCATTTGTTAGATACATGTGGCTATTCTAATAATTATTACTGCAGCCTCATGACACAGTCCCTCAGCAGATTTCTTGCCTCCAGCACTCCCAGCTCTGAAAGTCACCTTGTGCGGCCAGAGGGGAAACTGCAGGAGCCCCAGGAGCCCCCCGTATCGCACACGTGCCCTGTCCTCTGCAAAACTTCCCCCCCAAACACGCTCTCGTTCTGCCTGGACGCAGGGCTCCTTCTCACTCCCCCTCCCTCCAAAGCACTGCTGCTGCCATGCAGCCAGGGCCCCAGGGCTCAGCCCCCTGCGGCCCCCCAAAGCGGACCTTCACCCTCCGGGTCCCCTTAAAAACCAAACAGGAGAGAGGCTGCAAACCATCCTGCGGCCACTGAACTCGCGGGGCTCTTCTGCAAGGAGCCCAGGTCACCTTCCCTTCAGGCCGAGCAGACCACCACAGTACCCCTGAGGGCTGGGACCCGACTCTCGCT